ATAGCTGGGAATGGATAAAGGAATGGGCATCATTTGGAAAAGTACATGAGTCCCTTCCCCCTATCATGAATTAATGTTTTTCTTTTGAAATTTCCAGTGTCCTAGGAGCCTGGGTTTTTGAGCCCTTGGCCCCTATGGGCGACTCATCCTCTGGCATCAGCTGCTCCACCATGGAGCACTGTATTTTGCAATCCAAATCTAACCAGAGCCTCTCTGTAGTCCCTTTCCCCTCAGAGGACAGGCCTGACTGTGAGGTTTCATAGCCTGTGAAGACTTGACCTCTGAGGGTCCTTCCTCCCTCCCTCCTGTCCAAGGGGCATGGGGAACCAACAGTGTAACGGGACCCATGGGGAGAAGAAATGAAATTCAGGAGAAGCCAGAGGAGCTTGGCGAAGAAGACATGGATGACCCCATGAATGGCGATGTGTGCAGCCTCTTCGACTACTCACAAATGAAATGGGCTGAATGGGACGAAGATGATGACGAGAGTATGTACAATTGGGAAGAGGAGACAGGATGCTTGGGCGTCTGGGAACTGATTTTTTTGTTGAAAATTGTTGCCTTAGGTCTAGACAAGTCGAAGAAGGTCGAAGGTGACGACTCTCTGTTCACTGATCCACCTCGGGAGGAGGAGGATGTCCAGCCATCGAGCAGTGTCTCTTCCCATATGGATCAGGTCAGTCTTGAAGAACATGAGACTTGTAAGGACTTGCCCAAGTGTCAACGAGCAGAAAATGGAGACACCAAGCAGTGTCCTGGGCTTGAGGAGGATGAAATTGTTGTGGTGAGCACAGAGCTGCCCCCCTGCAGAGGAAGGGACAGGCCCAGTGGGGGTGCCAGGTGGGACAGCATGGAGTCCTTGTACCTGCTGTGAAGCAGAGGAGGACCCCAGTGTCTGGGCAGATGAGCAATGGGAGAAGGTCCACAGCCAGGAAAGGGGTCAGGGAAGAGGTGTTGGGGAAATGCCAGGGAGCACTGAGAGAGGGAGGGGAGGACAGAGAGAAGCACTGTACAGACCAGTGTGTGTGCCTGTGTGTGGCTTTAATGTGAGTCCTGAAACTTTGCATTGACAGTTGGCTCATTTTGGTAAAAAAGTAAATTGGAAATCCATAAATGAGTAATATTGGCCCCATTGCTGCTGACCCTGAATGTCTCTAACTCCTCCTCTTTGTCTTGGCAGTTGGAAAGCCAGGAGCCTGGCACTGCAAAGAGCTCTCCAGTCTCAGCATTGCAGTCAGAGGAGGGGGACCTGCCTTCAGACAAGGAAGGCACTTCCTGTATGAATTTCCATGGCTTCTTTCACTGGCTCAGGAAGAGAGTGGTGTCCTCCCTGCCAGGGAGAAAGCGTGGTGAGAGGGCCAGCAAGGTGCCATTCTGCTGCCACTAAAGAGAAAGCATTTGGTTGGAGACCACAGGCTCCAACCTCAAGAATCCCTCTAGTGAAGAACCCTATGCACCCAGAATTTTAATTGATTCACCAGCCCGTGCTGTAGAGTTAGCATGGTTTTGTGTTTTCCTTATAAAGTCCTCATTTTCCATGTCTTCCTCCTCTTCCATCATAACATCTGTGCCCATTTTGAAAGTAGGTTTGTTGACCAGAAGACTGAGGTTGACTCTGAGGACATCACAGGGAGTATCCTGCCTCCTAAACAGAAGGCCTTCATTTCTCTCTCCCTAGGCCCCTTCTTACGGTATTTCCCCCTATTTTCTCTATTATTTCACACATTTTAACCTCTGTTATCATTAACTCCTATCTGCAGTGTCAGAGGCTGCAGGACCCCTGTGACTCCCACTTAGCAGGATGGTTTTGGGGGGAACTTGTGGGTCTGGAGTGAGTGGCAGAGGGTACTGAGTCACTGGGAAGGCCATGTCAGTCAGTAGTGTTAGACAGTCAGAAAGCTGTTCTGATGACCCTGGGGACCAGGTGGTTCTTGCATATTAGTATAAAATGTCTGGCATGGTGGCTGGTTCTAGGAAGTCGGCTGGCGTAAGGGGCAACATGGAGGGTGGGGAGGTGAAGGCTGGGCATGTCACTTAACCACATTAAGCCTGGCTGTCTTTATTCATAATTTGAGGGAAATGCTCCATTACAGAACTCACAGGGTTGTTCTAGAATGAATGACATAAAGCAAGCCCTTGATAAGTACTGTGGCTGGTGGGGTGGCCATGTTCCTGAGGATCTTCCCATCACAAGTCATTTAAGTGATATCTAAGGGGGGAGCCACTTGGAGTCAACTCTCATGGAGCTATTCCTGCACTTAAGACATTTTACCCAGACTTACAGTTTTCAGTAGATGTTGATTTAACCAAGTCTTCTCAACCCATGCACCGTGCTCTCTAAATTTCCTTTGCAAGTGCCATTAAAATTGTCCCTACAGGTCAACTTCTTTGAGGCTGACTGGACTCATCCTCCTGCTAGTGTGTGTTCCTATGTTGCCAAATCACCTCCAGGGTCCCCCTCCTCCTCCTCACTCATCCACAGATTCCCTCAAAGGTCCTTCTCCTCTAGCTTTTAATACCACCCTGTGTGGTCTTCATTGTTTACATTTTGAGAAGTCTATGAGTGTTAAGTTTTAGAATCTTCCTTTCCTCAATTTCAACCTCCTTATCTCCCTCCTCTCTTCCATAGACAGTGAGCACATAGTTTAATATACCAAAAACAGATGTTTGGATTTTTGGGGTCCCGCATTTCCTCATTCAAGAGTTAAAGACAAATGCACATATAGGGCTGTGGGTGAGAGTAGTCTGTACAGGTATACAAAGGGTGCTAAAGAAAGAATAATTATGCCTGAGGGGGTTGAATGGGAACATTTTCATAAAAAGTATCACATGAAGTCCATTAAAATTCATGTTTTTCCGTTTTTTTATTAAAATACATATAAAGTTTACCAGTTTAAGCACTGTTATGCATACAATTTGTAAGTCTTGAGTATATTCCTACCTCCATATGTTTTATCCTCAGAGTAAAGCAATATATTAATATGAAATAGCATTAAAACACGTATAATGGAAACATCAAAATAAGAATGGTGCTCATGGAGAAAGTGGGAAACAAATAGAACAGCAAAGGAGGAGATCAAGGGCCCAAGTTTTATCTGTAATATACTCTTTTTTTTGTGCATAGGGAGTACTAAGGATTGAACTCAGGGGCACTCGACCACTAAACCAGTTCCCCAGCCCTATTTTTCATTTAGAGACTAGGTCTCACTGAATTGCTTAGTAACTCGCTTTTGTTGTGGCTGGCTTTGAACTTGTGATCCTCCTTCCAAAGTTTCTGGAGCTGCTGGGATTATAGGCATGTGCCCCTGTCCTGGCTATAATATTTTTTTTAATTTTTATTTATTTTTTATTTTTATGTGGTGCTCAGGATCAAACCCAGTGCCTCACACATGCCAGGCAAGCCCTCAACCTAGAGCCTCAGACCTATACATGGTATTATTGATAAAATATTCCAATTAAGTAATAATAGGTATTGGTATCAATTACCTTTTTAAAAAAAGATTTATTTATTCCATTTGTTATAAATGACAGTAGAATGCATTTCAATTCATAGTACACATATAAAGCACAATTTTTCATGTCTCTGGTTGAATACAAAATAGAATCATGTTATTTGTGTCTTCATACCTGTATTTAGGGTAATGATGTCCATGTCATTCCACCATCTTTTCTACACCCCTTGCCCCCTCCCTTCCCCTCCCTTCCCTTTGCCCTATCTAAAGTTCCTCCATTCCTCCTATGCTACCCCCCCCCAACCCCCATTATGGATCAGCATCCACATATCAGGGAAAATGCTCAGCCTTTGGATTTTTGGGATTAACTTACTTCATTTAGCATAATATTTTCCAACTCCATTTATCTTCAAATGCCATGATTTTATTCTCTCTTAATGCTGAATAATATTCCATTGTGTGTATATACCACATTTTCCTTATCCATTCATCTACTGAAGGGCATCTAGGTTGGTTCCACAATTTAACTGTTGTGAATTGTGCTGCTATAAACATTGATGTGGCTGCGTCACTGTAGTATGCTGTTTTTAAGTCCTTTAGGTATAGTCCGGGGAGAGGGATAGCTGGGTCAAATGGTGGTTCCATTTCCAGTTTTCCAGGGAATCTCCATACTGCTTTCCATATTGGTTACATGAATTTGCAGTCCCACCAGCAATGAATGTATGAGTGTACCTTTTCCCCCACATCTTTGCTAACACTTATTGTTGTTTATATTCTTAATAGCTGCCATTCTAACTGGAGTGAGATGAAATCAGAGTAGTTTTGATTTGCATTTTATTGCTAGTGATGATGAACATTTTTTCATGTATTTGTTGATTGATTGTATATTATCTTCTGAGAAGTGTCTGTTCAGGTCCTTGGCCCATTTGTTGATTGGGTTATTTGTTTTCCTGGTGTTAAGATTTTTGAGTTCTTTATATATTTTAGAGATTAGTGCTGTATCTGATGTGCGTGTGGTAAAAATTTGCTCCCATTCTGTAGGTGCTCTGTTCACCTGATTGTTTCTTTTGCTGAGAAGAAGCTTTTCAATTTTAATCAATCATTTATTGTTTCTTGATTTTATTTCTTATGCTATAGGAGTCTTGTTAAGTTGGGTGGGGACTAATCTGATGTGATAAAGATTTGGGCCTACTTTTTCTTTTATTAGGCGCAGGGTCTCTGGTCTAATTCCTAGATCCTTGCTCCACTTTGAGTTGAGTTTTGTGCATTGTGAGAGATAGGGGTTTAATTTCGTTTTGTTGCACGTGGATTTCCAGTTTTTCCAGCACCATTTGTTGAAGAGGCTATCTTTTCTCCAATATATGTTTTTGGCACCTTTGTCTAGTATGAGATAACTGTAATTATGTGGGTTAGTCTCTGTGTCCTCTATTTTGTACCATTGGTCTACCAATCTCTTTTGGTGCCAATACCATGCCGTTTTTGTTACTATTGCTCTGTAGTATAGTTTAAAGTCTGGTATTGTGATGCCACCTGCTTCAGTCTTCTTGCTAAAGATTACTTTGGCTATTCTAGGTCTCTTATTTTTCCAGATGAAATTTATGATTGCTTTTTCTATTTCTATGAGGAATGTCATTGATATTTTGATTGGAGTTGCTTCAAATCTGTATGGTGCTTTTGGTAGTATGGTCATTTTGACAATATTAATTCTGCCTATCCAAGAACAAGGTAGATCTTTCCATTTTCTAAGGTCTTCTTTAATTTCTTTCTTTGGTTCTGTAGTTTTTATTGTAGAGGTCTTTCACCTCTTTTGTTAAGTTGATTCCCAAGTATTTTATTTTTTGAGGCTATTGTAAGTAGGGTAGTTTTTCTAGTTTCTCTTTCAGTTTTGTCAGTGATATACAGAAATGCCTTTGGTTTATGGGTGTTGATTTTATACCTGTTACTTTGCAGAATTAATTTATTAGTTCTAGAAGTTTTCTGGAGGAATTTTTTGGATCTTCTACGTATAGAATCATGTTGTTGGTAACTAGTGATGGTTTGAGTTCTTCTTTTCCTATCTGTATCCCTTTAATTTCTTTTGTCTGTCTAATTGCTCTGGCTAGAGTTTCAAGAACTATGTTAAATAGAAGTGGTAAAAGGGGGCATCCCTGTCTTGTTCCAGTTTTTAGAGGGAATGCTTTCAATTTTTTCCATTTAGAATGCTTTTGGCCTGGGGCTTAGCATAGATAGCTTTTACAACATTGAGATATGTTCCTATTATCCCACGTTTTTCTAGAGTTTTCAACAGGATGAGGTGCTGTATTTTGTCAAATGCTTTTTCTGCATCTATTGAGATGATCATATGATTATTATTTGTAAGTCTATTGATGTGATGAATTACATGTATTGATTTCCATATGCTTGCATCCCTGGGATGAACCCCATTTAATCATGGTGCACTATAGTTTTGATATGTTTTTATATTCGATTTGCCTGAATTTTATTGAGAATTTTTGCATCTATGTTCTTTAGAGATATTGGTCTGAAGTTTTTTTTTTCTTTGATGTGGCCTTGTTTGGTTTTGGAATCAAGGTGATTTTGGCTTCAGAATGAGTTTGGAAGTGTTACTTCTTTTTCTATTTCATGGAATAATTTGAGGAGTATTGGTATTAGTTCTTCTTTGAAGGTCTTGTAGAACTCAGCTGTGTATCTGTCTGGTCCTGGGCTTTTCTTGGTTGGTAGGCTTCTGATGGTGTCGTCTATTCCATTGCTTGAAATTGATCTGATTAACTTGTGTATATCATCCTGATTCTATTTGGGCAAATCATATGACTCTAGAAATTTAT